GATTAAGACCTTACTCTGGCATTTACAAACTGCCAGTTGCCTTTGGGATGCCCAACCTGTGCCTCCCAGGTCCCTAGAAAAGTATCTTGTTCTTTTCCTTTTTTTAAATTGGGGAAGAGAGGCCACAAAATAAATAAATAAATAAATAATCCCATTTTAACTTTCATTATACTGGCTAACAGCCCAGTGATAAATACACAGAGCTTCTAAAGATTTGCAAAGTGCCTCTACAGCATCTCAGTCCTGTCTAGGTTTTGACAATCGGGAACAAGACCACCCATTAACACTTGAGGGGCAGAGATGAGTACAAATGTAGCCACACATCTACTTAAGTCTTAAACCAAGCCAACAGACTGTTATAAATGTCTCCTATCTTGACAAAGTAAGCTTGAAGAGCAGGCTCACATTTAAACTCAGTCTGAGTTTTAGCAAGAATATGGTAGGAGGGAGAGTTGGCCCTTCTGTGTATAGAGGCCCCCCCAGCTGTGCAAGCCCTCTCTACACTACAGGTAAAATGCACCTTTGGGTACCTCTGTGCCCAGGTGCCCACATCAGTGTCTCTGACAACATTGAGGACAAACACAGAGAGGAGGCTCATGAAGGTACTAGAAATTCATATAGGGACTTAGGACAAGGAATTATGGGGTACCAGGTAGTCTGGATGGTGTGGCCTTTTGGCCCCGTGGACTGTATACCCTTAGAATGGATGGTGTTTAAAGAGGACCAGAGCCAAACCTTTAAAGCCCAAAAAAGGGTTCCCTCTTGCCTAGAACCATGGCCATGATACTGGGTTTTGCGTCAAGATTGACTGAACCACATGATCTACAACTTTCTGCTGTATGTTTTCACCTGTAAGATGGATATATTATGTATTCTCCCCCTTCTTCATAGGAGAATTTCCTAAAAATTAATTTTGTTTTTGAGTTCCCTGGAAGAATGGCACAACAAACAGAGCATGCTATTTGCTGAGGACTGATATCATTTCCAGGTACCAGACATGGCCTATAACATTTTTCTCATGCCAACTTTGTAAAACTCCAGATCTAGAAAAGAGTTCAAGGCAATCTCTGTGACCCTCCACATTTAAAGGGAATCTCCTGGAGGAGATTCCTGGTGGGAATGGTTCCATCTCCCAACTCTTCATTATTAACCTATAACCCCAATTTGAGTGTGTCAAATCTACCAGAATCATTCTTTTAGGGATTTTCAAGGATCTGGTTCCCAAGAACAACTTCTATTAAAGTAATTATTCAGTATCATTCTACTGGGGAGAATGAGTAACATAAAATAAGACAAAAATAGATGTCGAAAAAAGTAGATAAGCCCAAGAAGATAGAAGCCCCAGAAAGAAGACAATTGTTGAATCTAAATACAAAAGTCTAGGACTCCAGAGCCAAACTTGATCATTTCTAACAAGAACAACTTGTGATGTAAAAATATGCTTACCCTCACAATGAATACATGAACACTATGATGTTAGAATGCTGCTGATTAGCTTCACTGATTTCTAACAATAAAAGACCCTAAGCTCCCAAAAAGGTGGAGTGCTTTGACTGGGTGACACAGGAACATAAGTCTGCTGACACCATGTGACAGGTTCATATGACAAAAGTACTGAACTCCAAAACTTAAAGCCTAAGAGATTGTCCCTTGACATTTACAAGAGTGAATTTGTTCCCCTCCAGTCCTTGAAAGTCCAAGTTGACTTGTTCCTGAGAATGCTTCAGGGAACTTTCTTCCAAGTCTTTAGATTCCTGCTAATAGGACCACAAAAATACCAATTATGACCCTTTCCAAATAAACAGGAAGGCCCTTCTTTGTGACTGTTACTCTGGAGAAGCTGATTCTGTAAATGTAGCCTGGGTGGCTTGAGGTTCTATTCTGAGATGACCCTGGCATTTTCTAATTACAGAATGGCCCTTCAGGCAGCTGTGGCCTTGGAGACCCTGCTAGAGGTCATAGAGCTACAGAGAAGTTCAATTTTTAAGTTTTCCATTGAGACTTTTGAACTTGGGATTACCTAACAGATATTGCTCAGAGGTTGATTTGATATATAATATGTATTTCGTGGTACATATAAATGTATAATATATATTGCTGAAATAGAAATGATTTTCAATGCACATACATTTTGGGTTGGTGTGCACATTCTTCTGTTTATGAAAACTCTGAAAAAGTACAGTATAACAGGAAGTCAATAAAAAATTTAAAAAGTATTCCTTTCAAACTGAATATGTTGCCATTAAGAAAAACTAATAACATTTTTTTTTATCCTGAAGAATGAGAGATGTCTTAGACGATTTTTAAAAATTAGTAATTTGTCTTTATATAAAGGGGAATAAAAAGTTTATATCTGTGTCTCATTAATTTCAATACATATGTTAGACATAGAAAAAAATCATCTAGCAAATCGGGAACCAGTGTAAGCTTCTACTTCTATATTACTGTAATTGACATATAAGCAAGATTCCAAACCATCATTACTTCTGGAATTGAGTTAAGATGTCTGTCATACTTGTTTTTTGGGGGGGGGGACCCAAGCTAGCCTAGATAATAGCTATACAACCCTAAAATATGATTAATCAATGAGTTGTAATTCTTTTTAAAAGCCATCCTTCCAATGTGTCTCTCTTCAGGTTTTCCTTCCTTCAGAGCCTAACTGCTGGGAAGATTTCACTTCCACTCCCTTTCATTCACTCTCCAGTCCATTTCAGGCTAACTTTCCCCCCACCTCTCTCAGTCTCTTCTATTTAAATTCACTAAGGACTTACTTAAAAAGAGAGAAAAAAGGCATGTTTTCTTTTTTTTATATTACAAATATTTTTAATGTAAAAACACAGAAAGACCACATTTGATAATGCGGATGACCTCCTTTAAGTCCATAATCTACCTGATCTCTGGTATTTGACACTACTGGACCACACCTTGCTTCTTGAAACTAGTTCTTCTCTTGTATTTTGTGAATCTGGTTCTCTTCTGACTCTCAGGCCTCTTTAATCATTCTTTTTCTGACTCCCCTGCACAGAGATAGAGATACAGATTTAGATTAGAGGCAGGTAGACGTAGAAGTAGCAGTAGCTCCTACTGGTTTTGTCTTTATTTCACTTGCTCTGCTCCCTTGGCATCACTTAAACCCTGTGTCACCTGCTCTCATCCCCTTGCAGAACTTCTAGACTATGCTCCCGAATGCACCGTAGAGTGTTCAACAGGACTGGTAATATGCAAGAGTGAACTCACGCCAGCTCAGAAAAGTTGGCTAGAGTGAGCTCACCCCAACTCAGCAATAAGTGACTTAAATTAGTCAATGGTGGGGCTATCAATCTGACATAAAGAGGACTTTCTTTTTTCTTTGTCTAGAAAGTCACCTGTTAACATTAAGTAGCACAACACTGAAAAGATATTCTGCAAGTAAACCCTAGAACCATTTTTCTTATCTTCCCATTAAATCTCTCTCTTCCAGCTGCCCTTTTTTAATGACATCATCACCCACACTGATTATGGGAAAACATAGTCATAATTGCTTAACTTTTCATCTCTTTGTTCCAGTCTTTCTCTTCTTATTCTAAAAAGAGCCAAAAACAGGTCAAAGGAACTTCCTAAATACCTTTTATTTCTCTCCTGTCCTCTTCATCCCACTGCTGGGCTTCTGTATTGTAGTAAACTCCACACTGCTGCTCCTACCTTTAGTTTCTTCTCCTTCCTGTTTATCCTTTCTACTGAAATGAAGTGGGCAGGGGACTTGGGGAAAGAAGGGGTAGTGGGGCATGGAAGCTAAGCAAGTCAACACAAAAACAAAAACAATATAATCATATCTTTTCCCACCTCAAGACTTCCCAGGTTCTTCATTGCTTACAAAGAAAACATTCCCCATACTTCCTTAAGAAAACTTTCAGACCCTTGCAAAGCTGATATTTGAAGGCCTCCGAAGTCTAATTGTTGACCCTGCTCCCTCAGTCACTCTTTTCCATCCCTAAATCATCAATACCCACCCTCCCCCACCCCACTCCCGATGTCTCTGTTCATGTAGCTTTCCATTACTTGGAAATCATTATCTCTACCCCATCCTCTGTAAGGAGATCGTGAATAACTGTATTGAAGATGGAAGAATTTATTATAGAAGCTAAGGACAAAAGCAACAGAAAAGATATATAGAACGATTTCCCTCATTAGATGGAAAGGTATAGGATGAGAGGGTGAAGACAGAGAACATAGACAGATATTTTTAAGACGCAAATTAATGGGCAAATAATACCCTCAGCTCAGATGTATTAGTAAGCGAAACAA